ACAGTCAGCTCAGCAAAACAGCCCTATTTAGATTCTGCAGGCCCAGAATCTCTCCGTTCTGAGCTGCCTCTCTGAGCAGCAGGCACCCCTGGAGGACTTTGGGCCTGAGAGACCTTATCCAGTGAATCTGCGGCTCCTCACCCAGTTCTACTGATCCCTGCAATGACACAGCCATGCATAAATGTGAGAGGAGGTGGGGAGGGGTTATCAATAAAGGGTCCAAACCACTGAATTCAATGGGCTCAGGGCCGGATATGGAAAGAGGAGGAGAACCAGCCTAGCTGGCAGAGGGGCTGTAGAGACACTGCTGCCTAGTGACTGCCCTGAAGTAGTCCTTCTCACTCAGCAACGTCAGCAGCAAAGTTGGTCAGCAAAGCCTCGCTTTCTAGGGTGAGAGCTGGCTGAAGAATGGCAGCCCAGCCTCTTGAGAGGACTTGTACTCTTCCCTACAGACAGCTTAATATTCCTTTCCCAACAAGTGTGGCCCATAGATGCCCATCACAGGGACCAGGGACAGAATGAGGTCCTCATGACAAGGCCGTCTTCTTCTTGGATCCACACACCACAGGGGACTTGAAGATCCAGGCTACTAAAAGAATTTCCGATGCAGATATTGCAACGCCCTATCTGCCAACACTTTTCCATATGGTGAAATCGCCCCCAGCGTAGCTCCTCAGAGCGGGCAGTCTATACTGAAAGAAGCAATCTCTCTGCATGCTTTTTTCGCTTTGAGCCATTCTTTAACAAACAGGACAATACCCACCACAATTAGCCTGGAAAAATACAAGCCTGGAGAAGCCCTACACGATCAGTTCCCTTCCGAGCTTAACCATGCTCCGTCATTGTAGTAACACTAGCCATGCAGACCTCACACCAGCCAGGAGCTGTAGAGAAATTCACTGGCTCTGCTGTAGAGTTCCCTGAAGATCCTGAAGGCTCAGCCCAGGTCCAGTGGGACTGAAACTACGGCACCCACTAGACAGCACAGCCAGTTTGCTGGATACTTAGCTCAACCACACTGTTTAAACACCTGACTGTCCCATATGGGACAGCAGCTCCAGGGCCAGCCCTTGAACACAAATTTATCAGGCGGTCAAAAAGAGAGACCTGACTGGTCTTCGACTTCATGAGGCTGCCCAGGGAGAGAGTTTGTCCCCGAGGTCCCACACCATGGGGCTTGAGAAATTAAAGCCAAAAACTTCAATTGCTCTTGGAAACAAGTGTTGCTCACAGAACCCGGCTGTAGCACGCTCATTCCAAGCCTCTCAGCTAAGCAGGTGTGGGGCTGCTCTTTTTGTATCTCCAACAGACACTGCACCCATCAGCTCACACACATCCATAACAAGATGCATCCTATGCCCACCGCATCATAATCTCCTTCCCTTAGTATCGCTTCTAATTCATCTTTCTTATTTTCCCCAGTCCAGACATTTGTTCATAGGACTTCTGTTTATAGGGACTTAAGTGCCCACCCTTAAGTACTCATTACTCCCAGCAACTATTGTGTTTATAGCAAGAGAACAAAGTCAAACCTTAGTCCCACGGACTATTAACACAATAAATCTGAAATTAAACCTGCGTGCTAGTAGCTTGCATTCAGGTCTTTTTTTGCACACTGAGATTTAATTTTTCAAGTGTATTTTTAGAAAAAAAGTCGGTTTTAGCCATGCTAGCGAGGGCCCCGGCTGCATGGTCTGCATGGGAAGCTCAAGGGATCTGCCATTACTAACGGGTTTTTTTGTAAATTTCATGCTAGTGAAAGGTGCCAGACTGACAGTCTGGGAGAATGAAGCTTTTATGCACAGGACAACTACAGCCCTGGCAGAACGTCATTCTTTTCTTCCGTTCTCCCTCTCCTTCCCTGAAGCTCTTGTTCCTTTCTAATCTTCCCATCCTTGCTGCATTTGGTCCCACATGGGAATAACCCAGCAGCCTCAGGGTGCACTCCTGCTTCACATCCTCTGTCCTAGCCACCAGGAGGCAGGCCACCTGGTTCTTTTATGTGAATCAAAGAGGTCTCGGGTCGGACTCCTCACTAGAATCAAGTTGATCAGCCTCTCTCTTTCCAATGGCCTTTTCTCACTGGCCTCATTCATCACTGACATACATCACATGTACCCAGGAAATCTAGAGGTGGAAGGCTCACTGGCTGTCACCAATCCGCTCAGCCATTTGGTTCCAGCTCCCAGGGATTGCTCTGTCCCATCCTTTCACTTGCTGCTGCACAAACTCAGCATGCAAGCTAGTTAGATTGTGCTGGCGAAGACACACTCTTCCAGCTGCCCTATTCTGAAGCACCAAAAGGCTCTGGAGACCTACCTGTAGTGCTCTTAAGAGGAAAGCCACTCCAGGCATTCACCAACACAACCAGCCCTTTCAGCTTGTTCCCTGGCTGCAGGCATGCCAGCCCTGCTGCAAAACCGTGGCACGCTGGAAGGGGATAAAGTCAACACAGCTCCCTGTGCTGGAGAATCTTCCTCTCCACTGCTGTCAGCACACCTACAGCAGCTTTGCAAACTGCAAGAAGCATGGGCGGGGGGAATGGGAGGGAGTGAGAGAGACTTTACTGCAATGCAAGGCCCTTCACTTTTCATGCTTACGTAGCCTTTTCTCTGTCAGAGAGATAGCGTTCGGAGACAATGATGCAAGGACTTCCCATAATCCTTTGCCTGCAACATTCTGATCTGCTGATGTGGGGATGGTCCTGCCAAACACACACTGTTGCTTGGGCAGAAAAAGCACAGTCAAGGGGGGAAAGCCATCTTTCCCCATCTCTGGGAGTCCTGGCAGTGCCACACTACCCTTGGCCTGCCTTTGGGTGGTGGCTCTGCTCTTGAGGGATGCCAGGGGATTGAAAAAGATCCCAGCCTGCTAAGCCCTGACCGCTTAGCACCCCCAGACTCATAGGAATGAAACAGTCTGTGTGCTCTGGGTTGGGGGCATGGGGCAGAAGGTCATGATATGCAGAGCTGGACATTTGTCTCCCACCCCAATAACAATGTTTTAATAGACACACTATAAGGTAACGGGAGGAGCAGGGAAGGCTATACGTTCTGGATCCACCACACATACAGCAGCTCTATCAAACCACAGGAAAGGTACACTAAGGATCAGACACACACACCACTATAACAGCCAAAAACGCAGAGTTATGGTAATCCTTTTCTTCCATTCTTCTGGCATTGTCTCCTCAGAGAGAAACAAGGAGCATCCCCATCCCTGAGGATCAAACGGAACTATTTGCCCAGAGAGACTCATGTGTGGCCCTTAATACTTCACTAGCCTGGTGTCTTATTAACACTTCTTTGCTATTTACAGTTAATTTAGTGCTGCTGAAAGGTACTAAACGGATACCGGAGACTGAGAGCTCCTATCACAGGGACAAACTGCCCCCGCCTAACCAGCCTGACATTGCCAAGAATCGCTGTGGCCCATTAAATCCTTGCCCTCTCTTAGGAGCATGTCAATAAAGGGGACCACACAGGCCCTGTTAATTAATGGACAGGTGCCCACTTCATATCACACTGAATTTCACTTCACAAAAGCAGTTAAAGAGTCACCAGCTGGTAATGCTTTCACTCGTTAATCTGCTCTAGATTTGAATGGATGATCTGGAGGCAAAATGCTTTGTATGCCATCACCTGTCCCCTGGACCATCCAATCCCTCTCTGCCATCCTCACATCCCCTAGTCTTTGTGGTTTGTACAGGCTGGGCAGGGCAGCCAGCTATCCAAAGAACCTGCCCTGATATATTCCCAGCAGTAGCTGTGCTTCTAGATCACTCAACATTCTAGAACAGCTCCTCCAGAGTGACAGGTGGGCATTACCTGGAGCAGAGCCCAGCTGAAATAGGCACAGCTCCTCCCCACAAAATCACTCTCGGAAAGAGGAGACATTTTGACTTAGCCTTGCAAAGAGTCATTTGCCATTGTTTTAGGAGAGCACAGGACAGCAGAATGCTCCTCACTCACACAGGGGTAACAGACATCCGTACAGAGGCTTTAAAAACTGGCCAGTTCAAAAATGGAGATTCCAGCTTTGCTCTGGAATGTATGCGCTGGCCTTGGCCTGAGCCAGGGAGATCTTCCACAGGGGAGTGAGAAACCCCAAGGAACAAAAGAAAACAACTTGATCTTCTGGTTCCATTGACATTACAGCTCATACCAAGGAGTGAAACAATCAGCTTTATATATGGCTTGATTAATCAGCTAGTGTGTACCCAAGCTTGCAGCCCAGGCTGGGACAAGGTAATTTGTTTTGCTGTGTAGTTAGACCCTAACTGCGCTGGCATAACCAGTTTGGCTGGTCCGCCCTGCTCCCAGCTGTCTGTGTGGTAACCTCCCAGAGTGCACTGCCCCATGTGTGTCTACTCTTGGTGCAGGGCCGCTGAAAAATCCCAGTGCTCAAAGTGGACTGAGGGACTTGGGCACCTAACCTCCCAAGGCATTATGGGTTAGCTGCCCAGATTTTCCCCGAATGCACTGAAACACAGTCAAGTAGCAGAGTCTGTGGAGATGCACAAACAGCCCCACATCCCATACTGAGAGAAAAGATGCTTTGTGGCCTTGTCTCGACTGTGTGTGACGTGACCACCGGGGAGGAAGGCCTAGCGACCTGGCTAAGCAAACAATTGTACTGCAGTGCTGTGAAGAGGGATGTGCTAACAGACTACATCCTCCGCTTAGAGGAGAGAAGAGAGCAGACAGACTGAAGTGCCCAGAAAGGAGCACAGGAAACCAAATCTGAAGGCTTCTACCATGCTTCTGTGAATCCACATCACCTCCTCTGACGGATGGGCCTGACAAGACTGGGGCTGCCCTGTGCCCACACAACACAGTGTTCTCTCTGTTGGGAAGAATCTAAACACCACCCTGGAGAAGTGCAGCCTTCCCACCACCCCGTCACCTCGTGAGCTAGGACCGAGGACTAGACTCTATTCAGAATGAGCTACTTAGGCTTACAACGAACACAAGGGAAGTACCGTAACAAGAAACCCTTACTTGGGCAATGCTGATGGCTGGGACTCCACTGGGGCAGCTGCTCCTGGTGGCTCTGAGGCTGCAGAACTGTCCACTGCTTCAGCTGTCTCCTCCGCTGCAGTGGGCTCTTGAGGCCTGGCGGCTGCCCCATCATCCGGGTCAGGGACGGGCTCTGCTGCCGAGCGGATCTCAATTTCCTGAGCCACAGCAGGCACTTTTGTCCTCTCCGCTGCCGCTTCCTCCTCCCTTTTCCTCATCTTCTCCACAAGCTCCCGCCGCCTCTCCTCGTCATCCTGACGGGCCAGGTGTTCAAAGTTCTTGAATGCCTGAAAGAGACAAAGCCAATCAAGCAAACAAGCAGGTAGCCAAGCCATCAATCCACAGCTAATATGCGTGTATCTCAGAAGCAGACGTGGTGCAGGGTTTCCACCTTGACACTAGAGGAACCGAGATTGGAAAAGAGACACTAGTTCAGTATAGCACTGCTTCTAACAGGAAACTGCTCTCAAAGGCAGGTGACAGAAAGCATGCCTGCCTAGAGCAGTGAGAGCTGACAGATTCTTTAGGTGACACAGAAATAAGCAAATGTATTCTTCCATTTCTCAAAAAGAAAAGGAGGACTTGTGGCACCTTAGAGACTAACCAATTTATTTGAGCATGAGCTTTCGTGAGCTTTTCATGATGCATCCGATGAAGTGAGCTGTAGCTTATGCTCAAATAAATTGGTTAGTCTCTAAGGTGCCACAAGTCCTCCTTTTCTTTTTGCGAATACAGACTAACATGGCTGTTACTCTGAAACCTGTCATCTTCCATTTCTGCAGACTGTACCTAAGTAGGAAACCTCCAGTGGGGTCATTGCTCTGAGGCAGCTCACTGTGGCTCAAGTTACCCTGAGACACATACACTGTGCTCTCTCTCTCTCACATTACATTGGTTCTCTTTTTTTAATCTAAAATAGAAATAGGTTGGGTTTGCTTTGTGTGTGTGTAAAACAGAATGGGAGGCCACTGGGGGAGTGGCAGATCAGAAGAGAGGCCTAAGGAGGGACGATTAGATAAGCCAGCAGCTTCCAACCTGCTTCGTTCGTCTTCAGGTGCAATCTTGCCACTCCCCGACCCACTTGGTCTTGGCTACTCCTCCAATTGCATCACTTCACCCCAACCCTAACCCCACACTGGGTCCTCCCCTCCAAACTCCCCAGTTCACACGTTCACTGGGCTTTTGTTTTTAAATCCGTACCTGCTGGTACTGCTGCCTGATCAGGCTAGCAGAAAGCTGATGAAAGGAACACAGCAACAGTTCTAGAGGAGTCAGCAGTTCTGGGAATAGACACTGGACAGAGAAGCCAGGCTACAGGCGGGCTCAGTCCGAAGGGCAGAGCTCTCTCGAAAGGAGAGACATTGCCACCAGCAGCTCCTCCGGAGAAGCGTTAGGGCAAAGAGCACATTAGTGCAGCCACAGCCTGAAACCAGGCACTGCCGCTCCCAAAGAATCCCAGGGAATGACTCACATGTGCTATTCATAGAGACCCACCCGGCCAGCTGCATTTCAGTCATGAAACACAAACCAGCCCAAGGCAGAGCATTCAGAGACAAGGCTCAGACCGTGCCCTTTAAATCAGGACAGGACCCAAAATCCTGAGCTGAGAAGGGAGGGTGGCACCTCTGAACTGCTCTGCAGCACAGTATCATTGGGAGCAGTGTCTCGGCTCTGAATGCCCGTGGCTAGTGGAAAGAAACAGCATGTCCTGGAAGTGACTGAAGCCGGAGCCCAGAATGGCCTCTCTCTGGGGAAATCAAGATTTAGGCTACTGTGCAGTGGTTTGTTCTCACACAGTCATTAGACCTGAGCTACTCCTCGGGGGGAACCAGGACACAGTTTCTCATTTAGAAGATTCACATTCTCTCCTCAACAGGCCGTAACACTTACTGGTCTGTCACATCATCTGGCTGTTCCTTGTGCATAGCAACTTATCTACCTAATTGCTAGTACAGGCTGCAGAGTTCTCTAACGGGGTCTACAGGCACCCTCACCTTTGGGGCTCACAGGCTACAAGTCCAAGGCCCATATCCTGCACGCACCTTGGGTCGCGCAGCACAAGCATGGGGAAGGCAAAGGGGGCTTTATATCACCTTTGCACGCACAGGATTCTGGGCTGCCCCTGAGGACAGCACAGCCCCTAACATGAGTTAGAACAACCCCAAGGTCAGCTCTAACTTACAGAAGTTGGCTACAATTGTTGATGGGCTTCTCTGAAGCTCTGAATTCTTGGAATGACTCCCCTTACCATCTCTGGCTACTAGCCAGCAGTCTCTTTTGGCAGGGGCAGCACATGGGGGTCGCATAAGCCCTGGACTGAGGATTTTGCCCCCTTTCTGCCATCAAAGCAGCAGTCCCCATAATGCAATGTTAAGCTGCAATGCAGGATGTTGGGACCCTAGATCTCCGCAGACCTCAGTTCTATATCAAAAGCAACAGCAGCTGCGCTCTGCTTCATTTTCTGGAAAGCAGGGATGCCGCTCTAAACTTGCTGTGGTGAGAGAGGCAGCCCCATTAGGAGGGCAGAGAGGGAGTTGCTCTGACTCACTATTGCTGCTGGGCAGGGAAGCACAGAGCTACAGTCACACGGCCTCCTTGTGCAGCCCACCATCACCAACCCTAGTATAAGCCCACTGCCTATGTGGTCCCTTCATGCTCCTTGGCTCCTCCCCCTCAGTACGTCCCTGTTTATTGAAACATGATCTGCAAAGGAAACAGTGGGTATGTGCTTTGTCCGCTTCTTTAGGCTTCACGAAGCCCTGAAAAGCCGCCTATTTACTCAAAAAGGTGTTACCTGGTTTTTTTAATCGTCTTTTTGAACATTAGACATATCAGACATTGCCTTCCCTGGAGAACTAATGAGATTACAACATCACAAGAGACTTGTAACCTAAGCAACTGAGAGGGAAAGGGATTGTTACTCAGACTGTTTAAAACTCTTTAGTTTGCCTCTATTTTTGTCTACACCAATTTAATGTAGACTCCTGCAAAACACTTGGAATGAATGCTCTCCTTGAAAACAACATCCTGTCCGTTCCACTGGGGGATGAGAAAACTCTCATGCCAGTTCTCTGGTCCTCAAGCAAAAGACAGGGAAGGCAAGACTTCAACGTTAAAAACAAGAAGGAACAGAATAACTTTCAGGTCTCCTTTGTCCATCATGACTCAGTAATAAGGCATAAATAAATTTCTGCTCCTCTCTGCAGGTCACTTCCATGCTGCTTGCCTAAGGTCAGAGAGGGATGGGGTCTCCAGGACTGCAGCTCTGGAGTACCCAGCTCCAAGTAGAGAGAGCTTTCTCTAAAGCAAGGTGATTTCAAACTTTCCACAGCATCGCTAACTTGGCCACTTTGCAGGCTGGGTATTTTAAATTAGGGTCTGTGCCAGCATAGCGCATTTATGCCTTCACATAAACACCATACTAAATGGGGCTATGTTTACTTCAAACGTGCTCTTCCAGATAAGGCACGCTTGCCCTGCACCTCACTGGAACACTATACAGTACTCAGCATTAAATTGTTAATTGAAAATGAATGCACGTGTGTAGCAGGCAATTTCCAGTTCCTTAAAACTTCATTATGATAAGAAATACTTAACATCTGACTCTTCTCTAGGTCCTTTTTTGAGTCGCAGAATCCTTTGCAAACATGCACGGAGACACACAACGTGCCTGTAAGGTAGATAATTAAGATCCTATTTTACACGGGGGAGGGAATCAACTTGTTCAAGATCACAAAGCAAGTCACTGACAGAGCCAAGTATACAGTTCCAAATCTCTTGACCTCTATCCCTCTGCTCCACCCACTAGACAACACTCCTTTCCATCTTACTTAGAACGGAATAGCCTTGGGTGAGGGAACTTTTACAGACTACTGATTTCTAAGACATCAAGCACACCTCTGTAATGCTGTATAAATAACAAACCTTTCAAACCAACTGGTAAATATTGACTCCTGATTGACTATGTATGCAGCAAAATTGATATTTAAAAATGTAAGCTACCAGTTTTTGAGGATAAAACAAACTAGACTGTAAAAAACAACCAGGTCTTCCCCCATCTCCCCTACTCAGATCACCCATTGAGCCATTTTTGAGTTTTAAGCATTCCAAAGAAAACCTTCTCCCAGATCCAAAAGGCTGAGGCCAAACAGGGTGCGTTTCAACACAAAATGAGAGGGCTGAGAAGCTCCGAGTGAAAAGCAAGGCTTAGAAATAGAAAGCAAACACTGAAACCTGGAGGAGAAGTCTTCGACACCTCCCTCTCTGCCAAGCTATGGTCAAATCCACACACTTTTCCCTCCAAAGTCTCTCTCAAATTCCCCCCTTCCTCTCTGTCAATATCACTCAGACTTCTCCTCTTGCCTTGACTACTGCAATCACTCCCTGTCAGGCATTTTTAACCACCAACTTTATCCCCTCCAGTGTGTGCAAAACATTGCTGTCAATATCCTCTCTCATGGACATTCCTCCGAGGAGGTCAGCTACCATGCGTCATGCCACTGGCTCCCCACTGTACTGTGCATCACATTCAAACTTCTTATCCTCTTCCATCATGCTGCCCTTGCCTACATCTCTGAAGTGCTCCTCCATGTGCCCTCTGCTCCAACAGCAGCACCAACCATGATCCTCCCTTCATCTCTTCTCCCCAAACATATTTGCCCCGACACCTTTCTCCCCTCATTCCAATTCCTCCCGAAACATCATTTTTGATGTGGAACCTCTAAGACATGACAGGAGAGCAACGTAACCTGCAAATAACAAAGGAATTACACAATCAGCTCTTTACTGATCAACCTCACAATCATCCTCCCCTCTTCCCTTCACTCTCCATCCCCTTCGGGTGTTTATAGGGCTCACTTGTGCCATGGCACAAAGACTGAACGCTCCCCAGAGCAAGGCCTGGGTCTTTATTTGCTTGTGGAGTGGCAAACATTTCTAGAAGGTTGCAAAACAAATAAAAATAGTAACTCTACCCTTAGCTAGGGAGTCACCAGGCATGTGCAAACTACTCATGTAACATAGTTGGCCCCACTCAGACCCTGGTGTAAGAATGCCACTAACCACCACTATACATCATGAGAGCAACTGATGATGGCCTGGTCCACCGCTCCAAGACCTCAGGATGGCAGTGTCATGAACAACGGTTATACTCTGTGAGGGAAACCGACCAGGATCTATGCTGGTCCACTCAGACTCTGGTGCGAGAGAGCCATTAATGCAAAGCTGTCCCCGCCCTTTGAGTTAATCCTGGACTAACAGGGCAGAACTGCACTGGTGAAGTTGCCCCGGGGAAGCTGGAGGTTCTGGCAGCTGGGATGGAGATGGTTGGGTCTGGGGCACTTCCAAAGGGGCGGGAGGCCATTTAGGACTTCGGCTGGATCTCTGTGCCAGGCTGATCCGCGAAATAGTTAACTTTAGCACGTATCCTGTCAGCTGACGGTTTCAGCACTCGCCCCCCCGCCCTGTTGCCAGGCATGGCCCAATTCGCATCTGCCCGAGCTCGCGTCTCGGGCTGCCTGCAGACTCGGGCAGACGTCAGCGACCAGCTCCCCTGACAGCCAGGGGGCTCGAGACGCCGGCCGGCCGCAGGGAACCCGGGACCACGGCTGCGCCCCGCAGCGCCGTGGCCGGCCTGGGGCCCCGGGTTACCTGGAGGGCCATGGTCTGCGCCGCCCCGGGCGGGAAGCCCAGCCGGCCGTCGGGCCGCCCCAGGAGGCGGTAGAAATCCGTCTTGCGGTAGAGGAAGCCGAAGAGGACGCCGAGGAACTCCCGGACGTCGCCCACGTGCTGCAGGATGCCCAGCAGCGCCTGGTCGTACATGTCGGTCATGGCAGGAGCCGGGTCCATGGCGGGGGGGGAGGGGAGGGCGCGGGGAGCAGAGAGGCCTGGGCCGGGCCCCGCCGAGTCTCTAGGGCGCCGAGGGGGGAGGGGAGGGCTCCTCAGGGCCAGGCTCCTCCGCTACCAGGGCAACCCAGCTTCCTCCCGCCAGGCACTTCCGGTCCCTGCCGGGACGGCTCCCGGCGGCTACTTCCGCTCGTGCCGCCCCGCTAAACGCTCCGGCCGGCAACCGCGGCCGTCGCGGAGGGGCCGTCGCCATAGAGACAAGCCTGGTGACCATAGAGATGGCGACGGCGAGCGAGAGCGCCGCCACAGCGCGTGACGCATCTGGGCGCCATCTTGAGAGCCGGCGTCACGGTTCGATGCGCGGGAGGGGCGGGGTTCCCGCGATTCCCTGTCCGGGGCTGCCCCCGCTCTCTCTTGGGGGTGGGGCATGGTGAGGGGCTGGCCTGGGGGCGGGGGCCAGCTGGATGGAGCGGGGGGGCACTATCGGAAGGGGGCTGGCCTAGGGAATTGGGGGCGGGGTGTTGGATGCAGGGTTTTGGGAGGGGGCTGGACCAGAGGGTTTGGGCGGGTGTTGGATGCAGGGTTTTGGGAGGGGGCTGAACTGGGGGGGTTGGGGGCAGGGCATGGGGGGGCTGGACCAGAGGGTTTGGGGGTGGGGTGTTGGGAGGGGGCTGGCCCGGGGGGGGGTTGGGGGCAGGACCAGAGGGTTGGGGGTGGGGTGTTGGGAGGGGGCTGGCAGCAGGGTATGGGGGGGCTGGACCAGAGGGTTTGGGGGGTGTTGGATGCAGGGTTTTGGGAGGGGCTGGACTGGGGGGAGGGCCTGGACCAGAGGGTTGGGGGTGGGGTGTTGGGAGGGGCTGGCCTGGCGGGTTGGGGGCAGGGCATGGGGGGGCTGGACCAGAGGGTTGGGGGTGGGGTGTTGGAAGGGGGCTGGCCTGGCGGGTTGGGGGCAGGGCATGGGGGGGCTGGACCAGAGGGTTGGGGGTGGGGTGTTGTGGGGGGCTGGCCCTATGTTCCCCCAGTTCTCCCCAATCACACCTGCCTCCCAACTTCACTCTCATTCTCTAGGGGTCATTACTCATCCCAGACTAGTCTGCCGCCAAGAGCCCTCCCCAATCCGGGGCAGCCTGTGCCCGAGTCCGCAGAGAGCCTGAAACAGTAGCACTGATACACGTCTCCTACCACGTCTGTCCCTGGAGGGGTTGACTCAAACAAAATGAGGTCTATAGAAATGAGAACTCAGAACGGCTTTGTTGCTGGGAAATGCCTTTGAAACTTCATGTTTCCCCCTTTTGATTTATTTGCCCACAAAATTCTGCTGGGCTCGCTGCAGGGCAGGGCCCTGGGGGACACTACTCATACTATATGAAACCCTACAGTCAAGAACCAGGCTTGAGCTCTCCTCCTATGTGGACAGCGAGGTTGATGGTGAAAGGGAGTGCTGGAGTAGTAATGGCTTCTTTTTACATAGCACAGCTCTTCCCAGGCCACAGAGATAGGAATTTCCCCATTCATCTCACTGTTAACTCTGAAACAAAAATCCCCAACGATGGGGGATTCCACACTGTTCAGCCAGAAGACCTTCCTCTTTCCACTAGGTCTCCGCACACTCTACATCTCCCTCCTGCAGCTTCCCTAGGGGTACCTCCAACAGCTGGGCTGGTTCCCACCTAGCCACACCTACCCTGGCCTTCCCTGCAGTTCTGCTCAGCACCCTGCTAAGACCCCACCACATTGGCTTTATCTAGCCTCCTGGGCTGCCCCCAGACTGTTAAGGCAAGGAGGAGTTGGCTTAGCTATAATGGAGACAACACTGTGATCCTGTGCAGTGACACAGGGTCCTCAATGACAGGGAGGCCCCCAAAATGCAGGACAAATCTGACAACCTGCCCCTGAGTCCCAGCTGGTGATGCAGCAGGGCTCAGGCAGGCAGGCTGCCTGCAGGCTGTGGCCCTACATGGCTCCTAGAAGTGGCTGGCTACTTGCCCATCTCTGCCTGCCCCTGGTGGGGGTGCACATATGCGGAAGGGGTGGCTCTTCTGGGTACAGCTCACCACCCCATGGTTAGGGTTCCTATGGGTAGGACACTTGGAGTTAGGTTTCAGGTTCCTAGTGGATGGTGAGTTGGAGTTAGGGTTACCTGTGGGTAGGGCTCCCCTCCCTAGGGTTTAGGTTCCTGGGTGTTGGGCTCCCTGCTTTAGGATTAAAACAAGCCTAAATACATCTTCACATAATGCACAGACAAACTGTGGCACTTGTTGCCAGGGGAAGCTGTGGAGGCTGAAAGTATAACTGGGTTTAAAAAAATTAGATACTTTCATGGAGGACAGGTCCATCAATGTCTATTAGACAAGATGGTCAGGTATACAACCCCATGCTCTGGTTGTCCCTAAACCTCTGACTGCCAGAAGGTGGGACTAGAAATGAGTGGGGTGGATTCTGTTCTGTTAATTGCCTCTGAAGCATCTGGCACTGGCCACTGTTGGAAGACAAGACACTGGGATAGATGGACCCCTGCTCTGACTGAGCCTGGCTGTTCTCATGGATTTAAGGCACCTTGTTTTGAACATTTTTGTCTTTGTGGACATGGGCCCTGAAACAGGAGTGCCAGAACAGAGGGGGCTAGGAGGCCATGCCCCTATCGCTTTTAAAAGCGGGAGGGCTATGTCCTCCCTCTTTACTGGCTGTAAGGGCAAGTGATGAGGGGAGGGAGAGGAGTAAGCAGGGGCAGGGCCTCAGAGGGGAAGAGGTGGTGTTGGGGAGGGACACAGTTTGGGCACCAGTGTGCCCTCCCCCACTTTTAGGGAGCTTCCCCATCTCCTGCATGGAGAGATCTGACTTTGTAAGGGAGCCTGCTATACCTGTGCCACTGAGATAAAGGAAACCTTGGCAGGTGTCAGAGGAAGCGGAGGGACTACAAACCCATCCTCCTTGGTGCAGGATGCATGTTACTGCACCTGTCAGAGTCCCATTAGAGTTTCCTCAATACTACTGGGGAAGAAAATGAACCAGATTCTTATCTGACTTACACCAGTGTAAAACTGGAATAAATTTATTCCAGTTTTACACTGGTGTATGCCAGATCAGAAGTTGGTCAATAAGTATGTTTACAACAGTGGCTCAAACTTTACACTGGTGACCCCTTTCATGTAGCAAACCTCTGAGTGAGGCCCTCCCTCAAATTAAAAACACTTTTATATTTTTAACACCATTATAAATGCTGGAGGCAAAGCAGGATTTGGTGTGGAGGTTGACAGTCACAACCCCTCATGTAATAACCTCAACCCCCTGAGGGGTCCTGACTCCAAGTTTGGGAACCTCTGGTTTACAAGTCTAACAAAATTCTGAGTTAAGCCAGTGGTTTTTACACTGGGTATGTCTATATTGCACTTAAACCCATAGCTGACCCATCAACTGACTGACTCAGGCTTATGGGCTGTTTAATTGTGGTGTAGATTGTTCAGGTGTGGGCTGGAGCCTGAGCCCTAGAACCCTCCTGCTCCCAGACTCCTGCTCAAGCCCAAATATCTACACTGCAATTAAACAGCCAGAGCTCAAGTCTGGTACCTTGAACAGTGGCAAAACAAAGTACCAAACTTGAACAATGGCAGAGAGATGTGAGCTGTGCCTGCAGGGGGTGGGCGTATTTGCCATTTCACTGCTCTGTGCAGAGACAAGACTCTGGCAGGTCCTACTCCAACATTATTGTCCTGAAGCTAGGCTAGCTGCCCATGGCCCATGCTCTCAGAGACAGCTCTAGAGCTTGTCAAGAGGCCAGTTATAGTCTCCCCCTGGGAAGTTCCCTCAAAGTTCAGTTTGAGTAGAACCAAGGCACTTTCGGTAGTAGTGTGTGGATTTTCACCCACCCCTTTGAAAATGGAAAAGTTTTTAGCAAGAGAAAGGTTTCCTCTGCTGTAGTGTTTGAAAAGGCCCTTTTTGTGAAAAGGGTTAATGGAAAGAGCTGAACCAGGTCTAATTGCTCCCTATGCCAGCAAAGAGTCCAGCCCCCACAGTGCTTCCCCAAGGGTGGAGGAGATACAGCCACCTCCCCTGGTCTAAGAGCCCAGCTGTCCTTCCTCCAAGGGCCACCAACCCAGCTGTCAGATACTCAAGCATCCCAGGGTGCTGGCCTGTGGGACATCTGCTCAAGTTGATCAGTCCAGTCCCATGGAAGACTCTGGACCATTTTGCACTTTAAAACCTTTATTTAGTTTGTTGCTCATTTCACTTTTTGTATAAAGCAATCAGCTTGTCACAGCCTCCCTGACACTCTGCCACACAGACAGACAGGTCATCAATGCCAACATCACTCCCTGCGTCTGGGCCAATGACGCCTTCCACCATAACCTGCAGGAGGAGAGAGATTTCACTAGATTGTGGCTTTGAGTTGGGCTCCATGAGTGCCAACAGCAGGAAGTGTTACAGTTTATGGCACATACCTAGTTCCTGCAGCCTTCTCTGCTGGGGATTCATAGATAATGCACACAGGTGGGAAGGGGAAGGCTCTATGGAGAGAACTGCTCCCCATCTCCAAGTCTACTCTGGACACAGCCTTACCCCCTTAAAGCTACCAAGCATCATCCTGAAGAGCCTCCTGATCACCAGCACACCGTTTCCTCCCTCCTCACCCAGAGAGGGGGAAATAGAATAGCTGAGACTTAAGACCAACCCAAAGGGACTCTCACCTGCAGCTTCTGTGACTCGGAGGCCTCCACGCCTACTTGATGCCAGTCTGTGCCCTGCTTCCCCTCAGCAGACCAGATTCTGTGCCACTCAGGGGCATCTGCCAACTTGATATAGATGTTTATTGTGCCTGGTGAGAATTCAAGCAATTAGTGCCAACAGGATAGAAACACAAACCAAACATGGTCCCTGCCCCTCCCTAAAGCTCCCTGCAGATGAGTTTATGGGCTACTTTGGTTCATGGGAGTAGTCACTTCCACCATGTTGTAGCTCAGACAAACTGAGTGTTTTGCTAGTATTAATGGTCACCACTAGACATACCATGCGCTTACACTGAAGGCGTGTGCATGGTGGCTTCCTAGATCACTGGGGGTTCTCAAATTTCATTGCACTGTGACCATCTGACAATTGAGATTACTACATGACCCTGGGGGGGGGGGGGGGGGGGGAGAGAGAAGGGAGGGAGAAGAGACCAAAGCTTCAGTCCTGG